ATAAGAAGCATGCCAGTTGTTCAGGAAGAGAATTCCATTTAGACTATACATAAGCAGTGTTGTTATCCTCAAATGTCATTTGCTATATTTTGGTAAAAGAATATGCCAGCAGGTCCTTGGCCTGAATTTACCTGGAGGGCAGAGACAGGGTCTTACTCATGTTTCTCTCCACATTACCTACCATTATACCTGGCACATGTTAAGGTGTCAGTAAATACTTCTTGAATAAATGTTTTTGAATGATTATGGATTCTTTCCAGATTGAAAAATGTCTTTTTAAACTGTATTCATTAATAGTAAAACGTATTCATTCTGAAGTGTATCCTATTATGTAGGAAAAGATCCAGCTCTTTCTCAGGCCAGATTCTCTGGATGAGCACGTTTCCCAATCTATTTAGTAAAGATATCATTCATTCACTGTTTGCTTAACAAATATGGTTTATTGTTGGTTCCAGATACCATTCTAGATATAGTAGTGAACAAAACAGATCAAGTCTCTGCATTTCTGGAGGTTCCCTTCAACAATGAAGGACAGAGAGAGTAGACTTACACATATATCTGGGGTGGAAAGGTATTGCCATTCATACTGGGTAACTGGGGAAGACTTCTCTTAAAAAGATTACAGTTGAGTAGAAACCTAAAAGAAATGAAGGAGCAAGCTCTCATATATGGGAGCAGAGTATTCTAGAGATATGGAACCCCAAAGCAGGAACATGTCTAACAAGGAAGCTGGTGAAATGAGGCAGATTGGGCAGAGAAAGGAATAGGAAGAGTGTGAGCACAGAGCTAGTGGGAACCAGCTCAGAGACTACTGTGAGGGCTGTGTTTTGTGTTGACCTGTGAAGCTGTTGGAGGTTTTAGGCAGAGAAATGACATGATCTGATGTAGTTTTAGAGGGATCACTTAAAAAAAATTTTTTTAAATGAATAAGAGAATCACTTTACCTGCTGTGTTCAACACAGACTGTAGTAGAGCAGGCATAAATACAGGAAGACCAGTTCAGTAGCCTTGTTGAGGAATGTGTGTACGTGGTCTGATGAAAATGCCTCCTCATGAACATTAAATTGTTTTTATAGTTGTGCATACTGCACTTTGGGAATTATCATCTTTTAGATAGTATTTTACTCAAGTACAGCTAAAACGTGCTACAGTAACATTATTTCCTAAATATATTAAAATATACCACTTTTGTTGTATAACAGTGGATAATAATACCTTATATTTATGGAGTGTTTGACAGTTGAAAAGCAATTTTACATTCATTATCTCATCCAATCCTCATAGTTCTTTAAGATTGACACAGTGGCTATTATGTCTCCCTGCAGAGGTAGGAATTAAAACATCACCTGCCTTATGAAAATCACATGTCAAGTTTGTGACCAGGCCAAAAAGCTAAAACACTGGTCCTGTGTCTCCTAGTCTAAATCCATTGGTTTTGTTTAAAGGGGTCTGTTATGTTCAGATGATGTCTCAAGATATTACTGGGAAGGGGGCGGGTGTTACTTCTATTAGCAAATTTAGTATATTGTTTAAAAAGCCCGGGATGTGATCCTGGAGACCCGGGATCAAGTCCCACATCGGGCTCCTTGCATGGAGCCTGCTTCTCCCTCTGCCTGTGTCTCTGCCTCTCTCTCTCTCTCTCTCTCTCTGTTTCTCATGAATAAATAAATAAATAAATAAATCTTTAAAAAAAAAAAGCCATTAACCAAAAAAATAAATAAATAAATAAAAATAAAAAGCCATTAACCAAGGCACCTGAGTGGCTCAGTAGGTTAAGCCTCTGCCTTAAGCTTAGGTCATGATCCCAGGGTCCTGGGATTGGGCCTGGCATTGGGCTCCCTGCTCAGTGGGTAAGTCCACTTTTCCCTCTCCCTCTGCCCCTCCCCCCAGCTTGTGCATGCGCTCATGTGCTCTCTCTTTCTCTTTCAAATAAAGCCAAATAAATAGTAAGCCATTAACCAGTGAGCAAGGTACTATTGTCAGAAGAGATACATACAAAGATGTGTGAAGCATATTCCTACCCTGTGAAGTTATTACTAGGGGAAGCAATACCTACACCAGTAAATATGGTAAATAACTGCTAATCAGATAGTGTCACATACTTAGTTCTAAACAAATGGCACAGACAGTAGATATGTTAACAGTTCAAAGGAAGCCATGACTTTGTTCGCCTGATTAGTTAAGGCAACTGGAAGGTGGGTACTTGAGTTGAAGTATAGGCTTCAACTATACTTCCTCAATAGTTGAGGAAGGGTTGAGGAGGGGTTTCTCAACCTGGGGGTCAGCGAGAGGGTGAGGGGAACACACAACATCTGAGACTGTGATTAAAACAGTCCAGGTGGGGGATCCCTGGGTGGCGCAGCGGTTTGGCGCCTGCCTTTGGCCCAGGGCGCGATCCTGGAAACCCGGGATCGAATCCCACATCAGGCTCCCGGTGCATGGAGACTGCTTCTCCCTCTGCCTGTGTCTCTGCCTCTCTCTCTCTCTCTCTGTGTGACTATCATAAATAAATAAATAAAAATTAAAAAAAACAGTCCAGGTGGAATACAAAGGATGTAAAGATAAGTGGATGCTTACTATTTTCCTATATGAAGTTTTCCCAAGAACTAGGCTGTGAATGTGTAAAAGTCAAAGAGCAGGCTTTGCCTGGAAGTTAAAAAAAGATGTTGCTGGAGAACAGAAAAATGCAATGAAGTTCTTATTTACACTTTGCCTTTTAGAATATAATCTAGCAATTCTGTTGTTCAGTGTTCCTCTCTCTATTGGTCCACTTAAGTCAAAAGTGTATCTGATTAAAGCTAAAGATTTGTTGATTTTGGCATATCTCTTGATTTCCAAGCAGGTCCTTCTTCCAGGAGCTCAAAATATTTGTTCATTAACTGTCTCCATCTGATGTAGCTTAAGAGTGGTTTAAAGATGTCAATATATAAAAGAGCAGGTTGTCCAAAAGAAAGATACTCAAAGTTGAGTATAATGAGAATTATATCTGTAAAATAAGACCTACCCATATGTAGAGTCTAACATTTCTTTCAGTTCACCAAACATTTATTATCTATGGTGGCTGTCTACGCTACGTATGTATTCCACTAACTACTAGTTCACATTTAGGTGAAGAGGTCAAGGAATATTTTATTTCTTCATCCAGGAGAGAAATGATGTAGTAAATTTGGTAATTTTATTTTATTTTTTTTAATTTATTTATTCATGATAGTCACACAGAGAGAGAGAGAGAGAGAGAGCGAGAGAGAGAGAGGCAGAGACACAGGCAGAGGGAGAAGCAGGCTCCATGCACCGGGAGCCCGATGTGGGATTCGATCCCGGGTCTCCAAGATCACGCCCTGGGCCAAAGGCAGGCGCCAAATTGCTGCGCCACCCAGGGATCCCAAATTTGGTAATTTTAATGTGATGGTGGTATAAGATTTATAATTCAGATTGAGGAAAATTGGAGGCAGAGAAACTAGTTGGTAAAAGAACTTATACAAGTTAGTGTGCCTAGGCATAAACTCTCTCTTTAGAGAGAGCCCTAAAGGAAGTATTATAGTATGTCTTGTGTGAAGACCTGTTCTATAGCCAACCTCTGATCCCTGAAACAGAATCGTCAACATAAAATCATACTTTGTATGTATGGTTTCTTTCCGTTCATGTATTCTATCATCTGTTCAACAGATATTTAGTAAGCATTTACTATCTCCCTGAAACTCTTCTAGGGGCTGGGAATGTAGTAGTCAAAAGAAACGAAGTTGCTGTCTTCATGGCTTTTACATTCTAGTGTTAGGTAGGCAGCACAATATGAGCACATTTTTTTTAATAAATTAATTTTTATTGGTGTTCAACTTACCAACATACAGAATAACACCCAGTGCTATATGAGCACATTTTTGAGAAAGTTCCTGGCACATGCCTGTCACATAGTAGACTTCAATAATTGTTGGTTACTGAGTTTGAACTTGAAGTTTGAATTAAGTGCCTGCCATTGGCAAGATGGCATTTGCCTTTTGCAAAGTGGAGGGTCAGGGTGGATTGACTCACATTTTTTTTTAATGTTACATTAAAAATTGAGTCTCTCATTCAGTTTTGGCATAATTCAGGTTATACGCTATATTAAATATAACAAGTTGTCTCTTCCAGACTACTTTTGCCATTGAAGATGAAACGTTGAAGCAGGTGCTATTCTGTACCATTGACAGTGGTGTGTTCTTGTCCTGATGGGATGGTTTTTGTGGGGTCCCTGAATTCCCAAAATGGCTCATTGTTGTCTCTGGCAATGCTTCACAGAAACCCTTTGTGTCAGTAGTTAGCAACTGACTGCCTTGGCAAAAGCTATGTCAATTCTTTTCTTTACTATATAACAGCAGTCAAAAGTGGTGTAAGGGAAGAGAAAGAGAAATTAAACAAAGATCGATACATGCATATATGCACACACATCCACATGCCTTTTAGACCAATTTCTGAGCATTATCTGAAATGACATTTGTCACATAAAACCAGGAGATAACAGTACTGCATTCGTTTTGTCATTGTTTCATTCAAATGTGACCTGTTAGCAGCAACATATGAATGATTTTTTTTTTCTTGTTGGCTTCCCTTTGGCCTTACTGCTTCTTATATGGGAGGAGTAGTTTCACATCAACAGCAAAGCTAAACCTTTTTGTGCAAATTCTTTGCCAGAAGATTACATTTTCTTATCCACCTACTTTTCCCGAAAGCCTGGGGATAGGATGATGGATGTATTTACTGTTGTTGGAAGCCAAGATTTTATTTGACTTTCACTTGAAATAATCCCTTGCTTCCATAGAAACCAGAAATGGTTGGAAATGAAGGAGTTAGGACCTTACATTTTGCCTCCAGATAAAATGCTTTGCATTAAATTTGTGATTAGAATTCCGGGTGGAACAGATGATGTCATTTCTGCAATATGGTATGGTGTGCATGTGTGTTTTTATTAAACATACACTGTAGATACAGAATTAGTTACATGGACTTTTCTGGTCCCTTTTTAGATGTGAAGCCCTCCAATATGCTAGTAAACACAAGAGGACAGGTCAAGCTGTGCGATTTTGGAGTTAGCACTCAGGTGGGTCTCTTTTTTTCCTCCCAGTTTGCTCTCTTTTCTGCAGCATTCACTTTTTATTTTCAGTCTACTCTTTGGATTGAAAAATCACCTAGCTGCCAGACAAACAGAACTCTGCATCTTCTCCTCGGCTGGGAGTGTGTTATTCATTTTTAATCTCTGAGCGAGTTTCCTTCATCAGAATATGATTGTTCATTGTTTAATGACAGTAAAAACTGCTGATATTGTAATTACTACTTACGAATAGCAAACTTCATTGATATGCAGCTTTGATATGAAAGCGTTTTGACCAGACAAAAGGGAGGGCAGAGTGGGAGCTGTGCCTGGGGAGCCCAACTGGCCCACAATAAAAATTAATATTGGGAGCAACAATGGTGGAGGGCCATTACAATGTGCAGCACAAATTTTAATTAATTTCCATTTTGGGCCTCCCCTGAGAACCCCGGTGATAGTGACCCATGAGCGTGCTGTGATGTTGATTTGAATTGCAGCCACCTTTACTCCCAGCCAAACACGAAGACCAAAGCGAAGGTCATCGTTGTATTATGGGCTGTCAAAGTCTGTTATCCCTCCAGCGTATTTAGTGTTCATTCCATTCTAGTAATGCATGGGCTTCATTCACATCTTGAGCCATCTGACTAAAAAATGAGTGTGTTCAAATTCTACTTCAAATTGACTTTTTATATCAGGCGGGTTTGGGGTACTAAAGCCATAAGCATCCTGCTTAAGTGAATTGTTTAAGGTTATCTGCTATAAACTGTAATGCTGTGCTTGTTTAAATTGGAAATCACATTCAAAAGAAAAGAGAGATTTAATCATTTTTAATGCCTTTGTAGATAAATTTGTTCCCTTTTACATAATTTTTAGTTGATTTATAGAAATGATGATTGTAGGTTAAATGAGGAATAATTGCCCATTTTATTTCCACATTATCTTTATATTGTTCTAACAGACTGTTTTGTCTCATAGCTGGTGAATTCTATAGCCAAGACGTATGTTGGAACAAATGCTTATATGGCGGTAAGTAAACTTATGCAAAAATAACATTTAAAACCAACATCTTTATCTTTATGTACTTGGTAATGTAGAATTCTTGAATTAATTCAACAGCTTTATCCTAACAGATCATAAATTACAAAGTCAATCCAGTCATGATCCGATTTTTAGATCTTTCTAAAAAGCATTAGGGTTTATATAGGAGCTGCCAACTGATCTGCTTAGTTGACTTAACTAGTTGGTTCGAGTATGAAATTGCTGAGTTTCGAAGCTTAATCCTACAGAAATATTGCACCTTAAAGCACATTGACCACTTTGCCACATTGCTCATTTAATTAACCCTCAAGTATCCCAAAATGTCAGTCAATAAGATTGGTTGTTCTTTTCCAGAAATACAGGCTTTGTCACCTCATCAAAATTAAAATTTTGACATGACCAACTCTTACTTATGGATCTCTGAAATAAAGGTTTGGCAGGAAATTCTCTTTCAAACTTGTACATCTATATTCTGTTTACTTGTTGGGCTAATGCCTGTCATAAGATAACATTAATTTCTCTGAAATAAATTTACCATGTATGAAAATTAGAAGCATAGAACTGTTTCAAAGACCCAGTGTGGACTTGATGTCAACCCTTTCCTTATTCCTACCTTTTAAGTAAGGGAAGTTATTTGGGGCACAAATGCTTTTGTTTATTAGTTTCCTCTTCAAGAGTGGGTTGGGAGAGACAAGCAAGAAGGTTATCTAGTATGATTTTTGGAGCCAGGTTTTATTTTAACAGCTTATGTTCAATTTTCTTTTTAAATGAGGATTCTGGATTTATTTAGGTAGTGTATTTTACTTCCAGTAATCTTTATATGAAGTTAAAAAATATTAGTATGGATGGAAACCTGGCTCTCAGTTCATATATTATCTTGATAAAAAGATGTTAATATAAATGGAACTTTGGATCTTATTCTCAGAACAGTACAAACCTTTTTTTTTTTTTAATCAAGGTACCGTAATCATTAATTTCTGTCATCATGCCTGGGTTGTTTTTTTTTTTTTTCATGCCTGGTTTTTAAAGAAAATTTATCCTTTCTCATTTTTCTAGGAAATGTAAAAAAAAAAAAAAAGTAACCTCTGAAGTCATTGTATCTGTTTTTATAAAACATAATCGCCCCCTTGGCTCTACCAGGTTAGCTGAGATTGGTGAACCACTTTTACAGTTAATAAATCCCTACCAAATACACAATTTCAGTCTTTGAAAGAATATGGAACACTGTGATTTAAAAATAAATAAATAAACCTACTGTAAATGAAACAACTTTTCATCTACCCATCATGTTTTTAGTAGCTTTAAATTGCTCTAGTAATTAAATTGCATTATGTTTGAATGTACAAATCTAGATTACAGTTGTCTTTCCCAGGTATACATTAAAGAAATTACTTTTTTTCTTTTTGGTTTATGGATGAATGTGATGCATCCATCTGTTAATTGAATATTTGAGGATTAAAATTATGAAATGTTAGCTCAGATTGGCACAGCTCAGATTGCTTTGCTTCTTGGGTGAGTGAGTTCTAGTCATCAGCTTTATAGTTCAAGCTGTAAAAAGCATAAGATACCTAGAAAGCCAAGTGTGATAGCCTGATAGCTTCACTCAATTCAGCAGACTCTCATTAGCCACATACCTACCTAATTAGTATGAGATCAGAGGTTGGGAGTGGAGAAGATGGAAATAACGTTATTCTGTTATTAATCCCTGTTATTAATCCCTGCCTGAGATACCTTAATATTGTATTATTGAACTACCATTGAGGGGAACTGGGTGAAGGGTGCATAGAACTTCCCTGTATGTATTTTTTTCAACTTGTAAATTGATAAGTATTTCAAGATAAAAAAATTAGGTAAAAAACGAAAGTTTTATTGGAACATGGCCACACCCTTTTGTTTGTGTATTGTCTCTGGCTGCTTCAGCACTACAGCATCAGAGTGGAGCTGCTGTGACAGTTGCAGCAGAGACCATATGGCCCACAGAGGGAGAAGTATTTATGCTCTGGTCATGTAGAGAAAAAGTTTGCCAGCTTCTGGTCTATGCCAGTGAAAGCTGTATCTGAGTGCCTTCGGTTAATCAGCTAATATTTACTGAGCATCTTCGATGCCATTAGCCAGGTTATGGTGGAACCACTTGAACCTGCATAAAGTATGGGCAAAATAGGAAGCTTAACATTATATGTGGCTACATTTTGTGTGACATAATAAAGACTTAAGTTGTACCAAGCATACATTTAGAGAGTAAAAAGTCATACAATGTATGAATTTGATGATTTAACAGTATGTGAAAAGGGTGCTTATTAAAAGAGATCACTGTGAAGAGATGAGCAAAGACTTAAAAACAGAAGATATTGTGACATTGTTGGGGGTGGGAGGTGGGGTAGAGGACAAATAATAAGTTGTGGGATTATACAGTTAGAGGTCAGCTGGTATGATACCCTCCTTTTGCATCCATTTCTCTTACTTTGTATTTGTACAGGATAATAACAATAATAATAGCTAGTATTTAACCCCATGTGCCAATCACTCTTTTAAACCCTTATATATATTAATACTTTAAATCCTTACAACAACCCTGTCAGGTAAGATCATTCTCATTGAGCTGAAAAAACAGGGATAAAGAAGTTAAGTAACTTACTCAAGTTCATACATCTAATAAGTGGCAGAGTCAGGATTCAGACCTAAGTAATCAATCTATAGAAACTAAACTTCTAACTTCAGTGCCTCCCACTATACCCAAATTATGTCTGTCTCTCCCAATCTAGATTGTGATCTTCAGAGGGGCAGAGTTTATTCTGTTCATTCTCTATATCTGGTCCTTCACACAGTGCTAAATGAATAAATTAGTTCATGAAAGCTGCCTTCCCTAGATGACCTACTCACTAATTATAAGCAGAGCATTTAACTTTTCATATTAAGTATCTCAGTTGTATTATAAGGTATAGAAGACCCCCAAATTACTCAAATACAGTCACTAGGCTGCTCAAATATTGAAAAGAAAATAAAGAAATAGCTCTGCATATGCAATCTCACTTCATTCTTCTGTAATCTCAAGTGTAAGGTATAGGAAAATGATAATTAGGAAAAAGGGCAGCTTTCTTAAGATCCTAAGTCATGAAAAAATAATACTAATTAACAGCTTATGGGCATGTTAAGGGTGGAACTTGTAGGAGACTTGGAAGGTCATCTGGTCATCTAACCTCCTCATTGACCAACAAGATTGGAAAGTGGAATGACAAGTTCAAGGACATACTACATTTTCGAGGCAGATATTTAGGTTCAGTAGACACTTTAAGCTGATGCAAGAAATATTTTCAGCTATATTTTAAAAGGCTCTCATCCAGCAGGATTGCAAAAGAAGTTGAGAAGGCTTTGGGGGCTTACATTAAACCACTTCTCAGATGTTTTAATTACTAAAAATCTTACTCTATTTTAAACATAGAAGGCCGTAAAACTTTAACCTAATGTTCAGTCTTTGTGGTTTATTATAATGTTTTAATCAAATATAAATGTTTGACATTATTATTATGAATAGTTAAGGTTTTAAAACAAAACAAAAGAACCTTACCCAAATACTTGTGCTTTGTGATCAGAAAAATCCATCAAGAGGTGCCTGGGTGGCCCTGTCGCTGAAGTATCTGACTTTTGATTTCAGCTCAGGTCCCAATCTCAGGGTCAAGTCCTGTGTTGTGCTCTGTGCTCAGCATGAAGTCTACTTGAGATTCTCTCTTCCTCTGCCCCTCCACCTGCCCATGTGCACTCTCTCTCTTGCTCTAAAATAAATCAATAAAATCTTTAAAAAAGAAAGTCCATCAGAATGACTATTCTTCTCTCCTGAACATTTTTCCTGCCTGAGCTATTCTTGCCCTTGGAAAGTATCTTCACCAGAATGAAACCTAGACAGATTACATGATACAGCAACATTGGCCATGCTCATGCAGCAATGGTAATGGCAACGGTGGTGATCAGAAGGAGACTGGCATTTACCGAACATTCCTGTGTGACAGATATTGAGTCAAGCACATTGCACAGATTCACTTAATCTTCACACAACCCCATGAAATCTACATATTATTATTGTCTTCATTTTACAGGTAAGGAAACCGAAGGTGAAGTGACTTTAGCCCAGGATCTCAAATTTGGCCAAGTAATAATGAGAGTCACGATTTAGTTAAGACACCAGCTTCCAGTTTCTGGTAACAGCAGGTTAGGTTATTTGAACTAACTCTTCCATTGAAAAATTCTAGGTAAAATCCTTTTAAAACCATCTCAAATGCACTGAAGAGCTAAAAAGACAATGGGATCTAGCAGGACAATTTTCAGATGGAATCCTGCAATAGAGAGAGAGGCAGAATGTTGGAACACCGAAGCTACTTCTTCCTGTGGGCATGTGTCTGCCTGTACCACAGCTGTGAGTGATATGGGGGTCCTCCTAAGGCAGAGGGTCTCAGAGGAGGAGGAGATCTTCTGTGGAGATCTCAAAGGAGATTTTCTCTGTATTATGTTGGAAATCTGAAGGGCTCACCCTCAGAATAAGAGCAAACCAGAGCCAGAGCTGCCTCTTCTCCTCCTCCCCCAGTCCCAGGGAACATAAGAGAAGGCTTCTCAGAGCCAAGCAGAGAAGCAAGGGAAAAGGAAGAGGGGAAAGGTTGCAGCCATAGACTAACTGTGACACAGATTTGCACCCTGATTATATTCATGGCCTGAGCTGAAAAAGGAACCTCATGTAAGAATCTGGATTGAGGTGGGCAACATCTACCTTAAGCCTCAGAGAATCTCTTCAAAATTTTTTCAAGAGCAAAAGCTGGCAAGTAATCCACAGAAACTAGGCACACAAGGAAACAAGACAACATGAAGAAGCAGTAGGAACGGCAGAGACACACAGACTTTAGATTGTAGATTTTTTTTTTAAAGATTTTATTTATTTATTCATGGGAGACACAGAGAGAGAAGCAGAGACACAGGCAGAGGGAGAAGCAGGCTCCCTGCAGGGAACCTGATGTGGGACTCAATCCCGAGACCCTGGGATCACGCCCTGAGCTAAAGGCAGATGCTCAACCACTGAGCCACTCAGGTGCCCCTAGATCACAGATTTTAAAAGCGACCTAGTAGGCTTGAGAAGAATCTCAAACAGAACTACTAGATTGCAATTGAAAAACTCACTACTTGGTAGCATATTGGGTAGAGCAAAAGAGAGGATTCATGATATGGAAGATAGATTGAGTTAGAGCAGTCTGATGCCAGAACCCTGATTTAACCAGTATGCTCTACGACCTGCAGGGACCTTGCCACCTTAAAAAAGAAAAAAAGAAGAATTCCCCATTGTTTGTGATATATACTTTGATTACTTACTAACTTCAAGTAGTTGTGCATACTTTGCTAATTTTCTGAGTAGTGTAACCCTGAGCAGAAATTCTTTATCAGAAGAAATAAGGGATGTACCTTGGTATCTTCCTGCTTTTGACAAGTGAATCCTGTTGTATACAGAGACAATTCTGGAATGAGTCAGCAAAACATGGGTCCTGGGTAAATAAGAAGTCACAGAAGGTGACTGGAAGGAGTGGAGTGTGCAGCTCAGAGCTACTGCCCTTTCAGATCCTTTAAACTCTGCTTTTTATACCATCACCACTCCCCACTATTCTCATTAAGAACAGACCAGAATTTGCCCCCCAACCCCTACACTTAAACCTCAGTACAAAGGTGCTTCAGACAGGAGTCATGTTTTTCCTGCTATTCTTCCTGTTTATTCACCACACTGGTGACAGCTGCCATGTCAGAAGGTAACCCAGCTTTTGGTGTTTAACCGCAAAATATCCATCGCAGATCTGTCAGTAGTGCGATACCTGGTGGTTGGTATTTTGTTTTGTTTTGTTTTGTTCTAGACAGGACAAGCCACCTTGGCTTCAAGTGTGAGAACAGATTTGAATTGTGCCGCCTTGGGCCATGAAGTCCTGGCTCCAAAAGTCAGAGTGTACCAGGGCTCATCTTGTGTCTGCGTCCGTTTCAGGGGCTTGGGCTCCTTTCCCAGCCTGTATCTACTGTACCAGGTCTTCAGGTGGACCCGTAGAGCTGGCTACCTACTTTCACTGAGCATTCAAGCTTGAGCACAGCATCACAGCAGTGATCTCATTTTGTTAACTCATTGCAAGAATTATTTCTCCAATAAGAGGTCGTCAGAATCTCTTCCTTAAGGAGCTCTCTTATTTGCCTCCCAATACCTGTGACCAGTATCACTTTATTTTTTTTCTTTTTAAATTAAATTTAATGTTTTCATTATTTATTTTTTTGAAGATTTATTTATTTTATTCAAGAGAGAGAAAGCATGTGTGAATGCGCAGGGGAGGGGAGCAGAGGGAGAAGGGGAGAGAGAGAATCTTAAGCAGGCTCCACACCCAACACAGACCCTGACGTGGGGCTCCATCTCATGACCTGAGCCAAAACCAAGAGTTGGATGCTCAGCCGACTGAGCCACCCAGGTGTCCCAATTTTTTCATGCTTTATTTTTAGCTTCCAGTTTGCACTTGTTTTACTAGTTCAATAGGCAAATGTTATGAATGTATGTAGTCTTATGGTTGGTCCTGCCAAAATATTTTGTATGTGAGCTCCACTTTCATTTGTTTGCTTATTCTATACCATGAGTGCTATATAGTGATAACTATCAGCTTTGGAATGAAGAAAAGAAGAGAATAAGGAAAAGAGAAACAGGAGGAAGGCAACATTTGGTGATTTTTTTAAAAGAATTCTAGAGGGAAAAAAAAAGAATTCTGGAGGATTTGGGACATCTGGGTGGCCCAGTGGTTGAGCATCTGCCTTCAGCTCAGGGGTGATCCCAGGTGCTGGGATCAAATCCCACATCGGGCTCCCTGCAAGGAGCTTGCTTCCTGTGTCTCTGCCTCTCTGTGTGTGTGTGTCTCTCATGAATAAATAAATAAGATCTTTAAAAAAAAATAAAGAATTCTGGAGGATTTTAGGATTTTCATATTTGCTGGGCATTCATGGTGGGCATGAATAGCAATAATATTGGGGAAATTATATTAGTAGAACACTCCAGGGGACTTAATCATTGGTACATGCTTAAAACCAAATGTGCAGTAAACATGTATTGCATCCCCTCAAGGCAATATACCTTGACTGCATACTAGCTGTGTGCCAGCCATGGTACTAGGTATGAGATGAAAAGACACTCTCTTGGCCTCCTAGGCTAGTAATCAGATGGTTACAACACAGTGCAATGAATTAATATTAAAGATACAGACATTTTCATGAAGGACAGAGGCAAAAATTTATAATTTTTCCTGAGAAGTGGAGGAACATTTCACCAAGAAGAAGGAGAAGGAGAAAGAGAAGGAGAAGGAGAGAAGAGAAGAGATGTGAAGAGAAGAGATAGAAAAGAAAAGAAAAGAAAAGAAAAAAGAAAAAGAAACGTTGACTAAGCAGAGAAGAGGAAGATAGGCCCTTATCTCTGCAGGGAACGTGGAAATGTTTAGTGACTATGGCTGAGTGTACCAAAGAATCACCCAGAGAATTTTTTTTTTTAATTAAGATTCCTGGAGCCACTTCCAGAGATTCTGATTCAGGAGGTTCATTTGTAATAAGCACCTCAGGCAGTCCTCTGATTGCTAGTCTGAAGACTGCATTTTGAGAAATACCAGATTGAGATTAGTGTGTAGGTTTTCTGACTGCTAGTGTTGGGGGCAGTTTGACGCACTGTAAAGAACCCAGATTTTGCAGTTAGACATACCTGGGTTTGAATCCTGGCTGTGTTCCTAAACACACTTGATGCTGATCCACAACTCTAGACTTCAGCAAGTCAATCTTACAAAGTCTCAGTTTTTACATCTGTAAAATAAGGGTAATAGTATCTAACTTTGCAAGATTGGCACAAGGTGCAGTATCTGGCATATACAAGGTGATCATTGGGATGGCTATTACTATCCTTATATAGTGATTGCAAACTAAATTTCTCTGTTCCTCCTTTTTCACATCTGTTAAAAGGGCATGATAATAGTACCGATGTAATATAGGTGTTTAGGAGTCTGAAATGAAACATGCATGAATAGCATTTAATATCAAGCATATGGAAATTCTTCAGTAAATGCATACAGTCATGTTTTTGATGATGGTGGTGGCGATGGTGATGATATTCCCGTAACTGGCTGCTTTCATCCTAGTACTTATTGAACTGGCTGGAAGTGGATAATAGGTTCGTTCATGTGTGAACAAGGAACTTCAGAAATCATGGTGGAGGGCTTTGAATGTCAAAGTCCTGGGGAATTGCAATGAGCATGTCTATGAGCAGCTGGGAGAAATGGTCACATGACATTTGGCCCTTGGGAAGAATTGTTCTTGGTGGGAAAAGGGTTTATAAATTAAAAAAATAAATAAAGAAAGGGAAATGTAATGTAATTTTATGGCAAGTAGTCGCAAGAGAAGGCAGTAAGTATATTGAGGTAGCCTGATAGGTGTGGGCAGAAAGTAGGTCACAAAGTTCTGGGTCCCAGCTAAGCCAACTTCTTGAGATGTAGGACTTGCCAATAACCTGAGAGCACCTGGCTCATATCTTCCATTCCCCTGGCATATGCCCTGCTGGTGAGTGGTAGGTGCCTACTTCCTCCATATGCAGTGGACCCGGCTGATCTGGCCCCAGGTACTCTTCAGGGTCCCATGAAAGCTCCTGAAAGCTGATGCCACTGGTAGTCAGCAGGAACTCCAGGGGTGGTACCACGAACAGAATGGTGCCCTGAGGGCCAGGAGGTATGGGTTATGATCCCAGGCCAGCCATGTCCAGCTCTGTAACCTTGAGCGACCATTCCACCTCCATGAGACTTGAGTGTCTTTTATTCGTGTGCCCCTGTGTTCATTCAAAAGATTTCTGTAAAGTAGATACTCAATGCTAGATCCTGGAGGGATAGAGAAACCAGGCAACATCCACTTCACTATGAAACTATTCTTGTTGAGGTAGAGAGTGTGCATGTAGTGGCTTTCTAGACCAGTATTTGCTGTACATCTTGAATGGAGAACCAGTTGTCCCAGTTGGACCTTTCAAACTGTTCCTTGGTTCATATCAAAAGAAACCCTGAAAAAAAAAAAAGAAAAAGAAAAAAAAAGAAAGAAACCCTGACAAATGGAATAAAATGTTGAACCATAGGTGAATCTGGGCAAAGGAAATATGGCTGTTTTTTGTATTAGTCTTAGTTTGAAATTGAAAAGTTTAAAAATTAAAAATAACAGACTCCCTAGTGATCCAGACCCAACTCTCAAAAGTACAAATAAGTGATAACATTATATAATGTTGTATAGTTTGTCACTTCACAGCTGAGACCACTGAATTTGGAGAGAGAGGACCTGGGTCTAAGTCTCAACTCATTTCCCTTTTTTTTTTTAAAAGCATTTTATTTTTTTTAATTTTTATTTATTTATGATAGTCACACAGAGAGAGAGAAAGAGAGGCAGAGACACAGGCAGAGGGAGAAGCAGGCTCCATGCACCTAGAGCCCGACGTGGGACTCGATCCCGGGTCTCCAGGATCGCGCCCTGGGCCAAAGGCAGGCGCCAAACTGCTGCGCCACCCAGGGATCCCTCAACTCATTTCCTAGCTGAGAACTTTGCCTAGATGATTTCACCAATCTGAGCCTCCATTTTCTTTATCTGTAAAATAGAGGTAATAAAGGTTTCCTCACAGGGACTTTGTGGGGGATTCAGTGAGATTATATCTATCCATATTACCCTATATAGTTTTTGTATGTACCTGTATAATACACCTATACACACATACACAAAATTGTTTTGTGCTTCATAAAGTACCACAAAATGTTGATGGCTCTCTGCCTTAGCTAAGCTCACACTAGTGTTTCCTGGAGTAGCTCACATCAACTCACCAGCTCCTTTCTGTTTTCTTACAGCCTGAAAGAATTTCAGGGGAGCAGTATGGAATCCATTCTGATGTCTGGAGTTTAGGAATCTCTTTCATGGAGGTATGTTGTTTGCAAATAGATGCTTCTATGTATACCCACTCTAATATCAGGAAGAATGAAGATTTTGAAAAAAAAATAATAAATCTCCAGTGTGTTATGTGTATGTGTACACAGACTTTAAAGTCCTTTTGATATCCTTGAAGGGCTTGTGAACAGACCATTCTAAGGTGCTGTTTCTGACACATCACCTGTATAAAACTTACCTGGAGAGCTTCTTGAAAATACAGGTTCCCAGACTCCCTCTGAGACTAATTAAATCCACATCTCTAAGAATCTGCATTATTAACATGTTCCCTGGTGATCTTTATGCACACCAAGTCTGGAGAGCCTGCATTATAATAAAAGAGAGATTCCAGAAAAGTTCTGTGGAATGGTGGCCTTGTTGGAATGCATATATGACTTCCAAAGGTGATTACTTTAACGAATACAGCCCTACTCATTTGGATGTATGAATTCTATATGTTTATTCAGAAAGAAAAAAACACTTCACTCCAGGATGGTCATTTCACTTCTTGGGGATAGGGCATGATACAATCTGGGGGAGGATGAAGGGTATGTGTGTTTAGCACAGTATTTACTCTTTATAGCTCTAGTTAGAATGGACTTCATCTTAGTGTGCTACGTGTAACCCCAATAAAACTCTGTGCCAATGACTCTTTACAATGACTATTGATCTGTAAGGAAATGTGTACAATTTCCATTAGAAGGACATCTGGCTCATGAATTATACTAGTATAGAATCTGGATACTCACCAGAAAATTGTTTCTCACATTCTAAGCCTCTTTCCAGACTAATGTTCTATGACTCTAAGCAGTCTGTTGTCTTTCTTTAACTTTCTGCATCAACTCCAGAGCTGAGTGACTTGGATGATGATATACCCTAGCATGACATAACATGCAGTAGTGTGAGAGAGCATAACTAATATTTAAGGTTTAAGACACATATAAGTATTCACTGTTCTTTCCTTGTACATTCATTTTTTTCACTTATGTATTGAGGTCCTGCAGTGCTTCTTAAATGGGCAATAGGGATATGGAAATGAGAGGACTCTCCAGTCTTGACTGTCATGGAGTAGGGCATGAGGACAGAAAACAGAAGAATAACTAAATATATAATTTGTCAGGTGGTGGCAAGTCCTATGGAGAAAAATAATGCAGAGTGATCCTTTCTGATAAAGTAACCTTTGAGCAGAGACTTGGATGATGTAAAAGAAGGGAGCCATCAGGGGACAGCAAGAGCAGAGTTGCTAAGCTGGAGTGTGTTTGGAATGTTTAAGGAAAGCAGAGAGACCAAGGTGACTGTAGTGGAGTTAGCAAGGGGAAAAAATGGGGGAAAATACAATCAGAGAGATAGCTGAGGATTTAGATCACATACTATCTTCTAAGCCATGGTAAGGACTTTAGATTTTACTCTGAGGGGAAATGATTGAATTATATTTTCAAAAGATCATGGAGTTCTCTGTAGAGCATGGACTATAGGAGGGCAAGCAGGCAAACAGGGAGATCAATTAAGATAGGTAGGTAGGTAGATTGATAGATGCCCAATACATAGAACATACTTATATTGCACGCTGAAACACGTGTCTGCCAGTATTTTGGTAGGTGGTAGGGATGCAAAGATTAAAAAAGAGGCTTTTTAGAGAAGGAGTTTGCATTGATGTATTGGGAGTTTTGTCAACCATGTTCATTTATCCTGGAGGTAAAGTATTGGATGGTTTCTGGAAGACTGAAGAAAACAGACTCATTGAATTTGTAAGATTGAGGAGGATTATTAAGGTATAGGGGCTGTGTAAGAAATTATCACAGTAAGTCTGGGACACCTGAATGCCAGAAGGAATGTGTTGGCTTATGGGGTGAAGGCGAGAGTAGAAGAGGACAGATGTTTGGGAGGGAGGGCCAGAAAGGGTTAGGTGTTTTAGCATTTCCTGTGTTTTCAAATGATTGGTGAGAAGCCAGATGTTCTATCAGAATGAGGAGGTAATGTTGGTACAGGATGTAAAGTGCAGTCACATTATGATCATCAGGAAGGGTTGTTGAGCACCTCTTTGTGCATGATGCTCAACTAAATGGCTTCAGAGGGAACTGTGTGATTGCAGCCCTTGTCTTCTAGGAGCTCATGACCCACCAGATAAGCAAGTGACAGCATATGACCGAACGCAAATGGTAGACCAGTAAGCCACTAGAGAAGAGTGTAAGGCCCTTGGTGTGTGCTTTATACCAAGTTCATTTGGGGTACAAGGTAACCCAAAATAAGTGATAGGGGAGGGGAGTCAGAGGTTTTGAGCCCTTAGATGAGAAACTGTGAGTGATTCAGTGATGACTAGAACTCCAAGGTTCTTTTTCCCTAAGGGCAGATGTAATAAGAGTATTATCTGAAGAAATGGGCAAGTTAGTACACAAGATTCACTTTGTGTTCACCACAGTCTGCTTGGGATAAATATGGCAAATATTGTTTAAAATCACAGTAGAGAAAAGTATAAATCTCAATAGTATTTTAAAATTCCAAATAACAAATTATGTTTTGAAACATAGTCAATATCGTTGAAGAATTACTTCTCTTCTGTTTATCCTCACTTTTAAAAACAAGACTCCCTTTCTAGGTGTGTGCCCTGACAAGTAAAAACTTTCATTCATTCAATAATTATTGTTTAAGCACTTATCATGTGCTGGGCCTTGGAGAGTGGGGGCACACTTCTGATAGAGAAGACAGACATCTAAAGCTGAAACAAACAGCATGCAAGCATCGTCGGTAAAGCTGCTTCCAGAGTACCCTGAGCCCCAGGGCTGGGGTAGAGGTGGGTTTTCTCAAAGGAGTTGAAAGTTGAACTGGGTTAGTCTTGAAGAGAGTTTGCCACTGGGAGAAAGAAGGGAAAGAGGGAAGAGCCCCTCCTCATCGCCCTGCACATTCTAAGGTAAATCTCTGTGAACACTTCCGGAGAGATATAGTCTCAGAGCCTACTACTAGGTCTCGCCTAGGCCATTTCACTACTTATTTGTGTGGGTACCTTCCTCAAAGTGTTTTGAGTCATTTTATTCCCCTAGAATACTGGTGGTAAAGAAACAAATGAGATACAAATACAGGAAACTGAGCAAAGGAAATTTTTCTGAAATTACACAAGAATCAAATCGAGACAAAATGGGAACTAGAGTTTTCTATCCCTTCTACCTCTGCTAGCACCCCTGCCCCCCTGTAAATCCCATAAACTCCCAACCCATCCCTGAAATTTTTTGATGCAGGCATCAGAAGCGGCCTTCGTTGTTTTCAACTCCCAAAATAGCAAGGTTCACCTTTGCTTGCCTTCTCCATACCGCCCTTCCCTCATTAATGTGCTGTCACAGTCCCCATGGGGGTCATAACAAGGCCTCTTGCACACTCGTTCATAAAAGATGATACTACATGCCACTAAAATGTGCCATTAAAAAAGTCACAGCCAGGTACATTTGTGCCTTAAGCAAAGAATCTTTAATATCAGACTATCTTTTATCCAGGGACAGAACCGCCCCATCTCCTCTCTGCTCAGCATCCCCGTGGGATAAAATGGTTCTCTTCAAGGATTTTGTCAGCTGCATGTAGTATTTGGAGTTGGCAGAAGTAACATAAACATGGAGATTACCCTTAAGAAGGGAAAAAAATGAGATTATTCAGCTTCACTAGAGCATGGCAGTTTTACTAGATGAAACGAATCTGGCCCCTTTCTGTTTTTTGTTTATGGTTTTCAACTCAGATACTCAGATCTTTAAATGTGTTGTAGTTCTCCTCATGTGGATTAGTTGTGAAACCAAATAAAGGCCATTGCCATATGTGGAGTATGTATGGGCTCATTATGTAATGGGAAAAAGAATCCATGTAGAATTGCTCTTCTTCCTTGAAACTTCATGACAGAAATCAGTGTGAAAATGCAAAAAAAGAAGAAGAAGAAGAAGAAGAAGAAGAAGAAGAAGAAGAAAAGAGAAAAAGAAGTAAGACCCGCTAACAAAGGTTCAAAATTCCTGGACTAAGACAAACTGGAAGGATTAATCCTGCTTCCCACAATATTTGACTCTTCTAGAAAGCTCGCACTGATTTAGTCAACTCGGTGATTTTTAGGACAATTCACCCTGGCAGTTGCCATTCAAGACCTCAGAGCTAAACTTTAAAGTGAAAATTGGTAATAAGAGCTTTGTTTCACCACGTCTGATGATGTTATTTAATCTATAGGGGAGAGGAGTACCTAAACATTTTAGGGCACAATTTCTTAATTTCACAGGGAGCTCAGTGTATATCTCTCCTCCCACAGAACAGCTTAAGGAGAGAAGCCCCACTGTTGTTTTCACAAATTCGTTATTCCATTCATATTTTTGTGTCATTTAAGTCACAACATGTTTGCCAAAGCTGGATATTTCATTCAGCCCTTCTTGGTTCAAAAAAGAAGTCAAAATACATCCTCTTCTAGCCTTGCATTTGCAGTACCCAGAACAATGCATACATATTTAAAAAGGCACCAGGCCAGTCCTATAATGTTCTTATTCTCACTGAGTATGCTCTACAAGTACATGTTATGGTTAGTGATTCTATCTGAGGGTTATTATAAACCTTATTAAGGTTGGTGGTGAATAATCTTCTGACAGGTTTTTCTGCAGGAGTCAGGCTGAAAGCCCATCTTTAACACATGCATTTTGCTCTTTTCACTTGGGTCCTTGCTCTTTCTGCCTTTGTTTGCCTCCTCTCTCTGCCAGTCTCTTGAGTCTGAGGCATAGAACAATCTGGCTCGATGTGCTTGGTTAATTGGAGTGTCATCTAGTCCTCTGAGACTCCTCTTCAGCATGATCCCTGTTTTATTGAAGTGGTTTGAATGATGTGTTAAATGATGAAAGCAAGGTCCATGGCTGAGAAAAACGTCTCTAGATAGGTGAAGAACATATTCAGAGAGCCACACAAGGTCACTGTCATCAAAGTAACACCATCTTTGGAAGATTTTTTATGAGTTCTGTTGTTTCAACAAAGAGTTAGAGTTTCTCTT